GCTCAGCGTCTTCGGGGTTGATGGGCGCCGCGGCCTCGCGCCCCGAGGAGGGGCGAGGTGGCTGCCGGAAGTGCAGGGCCGTGAGCCGCCTCGGCGTCACCCGTGGAGGTGCCCGCGCCCGGGGCACTTCCGCGCCGGTTCCTCTCGGAGGTGGACGGTTCGCCGCGGGCCTCGCTCCAGGCCGCCTGCTGAGAGCAAACGCGGGCTTAGAGATTCTCTTTTTCCTTCGGGAACTGCGGGCAGGCCTGCGCTTGGCCTGCCGGATCGTCTGGATTAGTTTTCTTACACGGACACCCAGCACTTGAATTTCCATGAAGTTGCGAGTTCTTGGCACTGAGTTTCCCTGCTCGTCCCATCAGCAGCCACTTCTCCTAGCGCCGCCGCGTTTTGTTGGACGGGGACGGGGACGGGGGGCCCCACCCGCCCGGGAAGCGAAGCCGACACCTTTTAGCCTAGAAGTGGTTTTCCAGTTACGGGTTCCTAGACTTCGAGTGTTTTGAATTGGTGGTTAACGTTAATTTAGCTACTCAAGGAAAAGTTTTGAAATGTTGAGCTTAGGTTATACTTTGAGTTTACCGGGAAATTGATGAACTTTAGTAATCATCCAGTAGTATTACTGTGATGAAGGGATTCGAATATAGGCCAGAAAAATAAACGAATTCTGTTCCTGGAAGCAGGTTACAGTGTGTCTACTTAGGGAACTCTAGGTGAGGGAAATAGATTGTGTGTCCCAACAGCAGTAAGACAAAAAAACCCAACAAATAAACAATCTGTTCTGATAACTTTTCAAGTCTTTCTGTACATGGTTTATTGGACAGACATAGTCCTCAAATTCACATGATCCTTTCCTAAACAAATATAGACAACTCTAAAGTTGCTGATGCTAGGGAATACCAAGTTTATTTTCAAAATGTTCAAGAATGTCTTTCCTTATAAAGCTTTATTTTGAAAGGACTTATTTTTGCCGTGGCTTTTCTTCACATAGGACGTACTTACACCCGTAGAGCTTGGATATAATACTCCAGGTCTGCCTTCTGTTTCCTTTTCTGGATAAGTAAGGATAATTTGCCACAGCTCAAGGAATAGAGAAATAACCATATTTTGAAATCCTCTGCCAGCTACTTGTAGAAATGCTTTTAAACTAACCAGATTTCATATTTTTATAATGTGTTCTTTATACTTTCATTTTTCAAGACAGATAAAAGGGAGGAATATGTAAGTGTGTATCATAGGGCAAAACTAAAACTATAAATGGCAGCTGAGAATCAGTGGAAAACAACTGTGCCCAGTACTTCCTTCCCTGGAGAGAACGTTGGTGAGGTGGCCACAGTGCACCCAAGAGGCAGGCAGACAGTTGCTGGAATATTTATTTAGCAACTGCTAAGTATAGGGCTACTGTGGAGATGTGATAAATCCCAGGTAAAATCCAGACACCTCACCGCTAAAACCGCACCTGTCCTTTAGAGGAGAAAAGGTCTGTACGTATAAGGTAAAAAGTAATGTGTGAAAGAAGTACTGGAAGAGTGCTCTCAAAATTGAGATTCTAGTCAGTGGGCAAAAGGACTTTGAGGAAGAGAGGCTTTATGTTGAGTTTTGAAGGCGGTGAGGAGAGTCAGTGATCAGGATACATGAGGGCAGTTTGATCAGTTGCAGAATATAAGCTCCATGAGAGCAAGAACTTTGTTTTGTTCTTTGCTCTGTTCTCAAAACATAAAGTAGAGTCTGGCATAAAGGCTTTTAGTGATTATTTAATAAATGAGTAAATCAATACATATTTGTGTCTGCTGTTTTATATTCTCATGTGAAGTGGAAGGCCAAGTAGTGTTTAGGATTCTGAGCACTACTAGACTCCTACTTGGTTTAGGATCCTGGCTCTGTCACTTAATACTGCTGTGCCCAAAAGAATTCCATTCTTCTCATTGGTAGATCTATATTATGAAAAACTTCATTCCATTGTTATAGTATTTTTTTATTTCAAAAAGAATTGTGAAAAGTTTTTCTTTCTTAACAGTACTTACATATAGTATCCTTGAAAAGCCTAAAATAATTTCTGTCTGCCCTTTACAGAATAAGTGTGCTTAAGAGGCTAAATTAGAGAGGGTGATAGAGAAACCAGTAATGTCTGATGGCAGAGGAGCAATACTTTGACTCTACAGTAGAGAGAAACAGTACAGATGAAAAGCTAATAATGGTTGGCGAGGAGAAGGGGCCATGCTAGGGAAAGGATGTTTTCACCTAAGATTAGGGTTTCTATAGAGCAGGTTGAAAGGGCACGTCAATTTTTTTTTTTTTTTTTTTTTAGTATATCTTTATTGATTTCAGAGAGAGGAAAGGAAAGGGAGAGAGAGAAGCATCAATGATGAGAGAGTCATTGATCAATCCCGCAGCCTGGGCATGTGCCCTGACCGGGAATCGAACCCCGATCGCCTGGATCCTAGGTCGACGCTCAACCGCTGAGCCACGCCCGGCCGGGCAGGAGCGTCAATTTTTTAAGTAAACTTTTTATTATGTATTACATTCATACAGAAAATTACCCAAATACAAATGCTTTTTTCAAAGTGAACACAATCCAGATCAATAAATAAAACATTAAAAACACCTTAAAAACTTTTTTTCTGACCCCTTTTAGTCATTACTAACATCTCCCAAAGGTAAGCACTAGTGTGATGCTAGAATAGTTTTGCCTGGTTTTGATTTTATGTAAATGGAATTAAGCATTCACCAGCATGTACTACTTTGTATGATTATTTATTTTTTTTGTGTCCAACATTGTGAAGGTCATCCAAGATTTAGGATGGCAGTAGTTTGTTGATTTTAAATGCTGAATATTAATTCAGTCTAACATTGGTAGACTTGGCTGTTACAAATACTGCTGCTATGAACATCATTGGAAATGCTATTTCTCTTGGGTACCTAGGAGCAGAATTACTGGGTCAAAATATATGTTTAACTTTAGGAGATAAAAATAGCTTTCCAAAGTGGTTGTATACCAGCCAGCAAAGTAAATGTTTGTTACTCTACATCTACCCAACACTGGTGGTGTCAGTTTTTTAGTTTTTAGTGTCATTTTAGCTTGCATTTTCTTTTATGAGTAATGAAGTTTAGAACCTTTTGAATGTCTGTTGGCCATTTGATTAAATTTTCTGAAGTGCCTATTAATCTTTTAGCCATTTTCAGTTGTATTGTCTCTTAGTATTTTGTAGGAGTTCTTTATGTGGTTTGGAAGATTCAGTTTTGATCTCATGGGTATACCAATTTGACCACCTTCATCTTTTTGTGGTGTGAAATGTGGAATCTTCTGCATTTTTTTCTCCTTGACAAAATTAAACTTAGTATAAAAACCTTTCTTTTGCTGAAGCCCGTGTTGATGACTATCTGATTAAAAAATTATTTTTATTTTTATTGCTTTCTCCCTGAATGCTATTGTTAGAATTCCTAAATATTGCTTAATACACTTCATGTTTATGAGAGTTTGCTTATTTGGTCCCTTTACTATGGGTTAAATTATATTTCTTAAACTCTTTGCAAAGCAAAACCTGATATGACATGACTGACTTAGAGAATTGGTTGCTAATTATGTTTCAGTGGTATGGATGGGGAAGCATTATAAAGGACTGTAACTAGTGAAAAAAAATGTGGGGGTAGAAGAGAGGCTACCTTAAGTAGAAATGGTCAGGCATCACGTGGATGTTGAGATATTAAAATGGTAAATAAATTTAATAGTGGATTTCTAATTACCTGGATATGGAGAGGAGACGACTGTTTGTGCTTACCAGTGGAGTTGGTGTGGTTTTTTACTTAGGCACTGCAAAGGATAAAAAATGGCTTGTAGGGACACATAAAAAATAAGGTAATCAGAAGTAGGTGGGAATGGATCTGCAGTGTGCAGTTGCCTTCATTTTTAAATTATTAGGTAAACAAAATATTCTTAGTTTCTGTAGGTTGATTGCTTGTCTTCTTACATGAGGGTGAATTGAAGTATATTTCCAGGTCAACTAATCTTAGTACTAATCATTTTATTTGGAGGAACTTCATTGTACTTATTAGAAAGTAATTTTCTCTTGCAGATTTATAATGAAAAAGAATTATTACAAGGAAAATTGGATCTTCTTAGTGATACCAACATGGTAGACTTTGCTATGGATGTATACAAAAACCTTTATTCTGATGATATTCCTCACGGTAAGTTTTGTCATTAGAACTGAACTGAAGCTTGTCTTGTGAACAGAGGATGTGTGAATTAAAGTTTTGTGATTTATAAAAGGGCTTTAGCCATAAGTCTTAATAATTTAAAAGTTCTTTAAATGAAAGGTAATGTAGGTCTTCTAAAGCATATTATTTTCTCATCATCAAAGGTGTGAAGCTACTTTGAAATGTCATCGTCAGATACCTTTGGTTCATAGTATAATGAAAGTTGTGCTTCTGAATCAGATTGTTACCTTAGAATTATCTGAGAATTTGGCAGTTTTTTTGGTTTGCTAGCTTTTTCAGTAAGTATCTTGTGTTCCTTATAGATTTATTTTTCGTCTGAGTATGGCCATGGTCCTCAAAAGTGTAGTCCCCAGGACCAGCATCATCAGTTCTCTTGGGAGAGCTTGTTAGAAATGCAAATCCTCTGGCCATACCCCAGATCTACTTAATCAGAAATTGTTGGCTGAGGCCCAGCACCCAAATTGGAGAATTACTGGTCCAGTGTTTACCAAATCCATGTTTTCTGTGTTAATGTTCCTTAAAAAAAGGTGGTCTGTAAGTTTGAAAAATACTGAAAAATTCTATATCATTTCTTTTATGCACATAGTATTTTAAAAGAATCTAAGAACTCTTTCAGTAGAGAAATACAATTTACTTTGTTTAAATTGACATCTCTCAAAATTTGATCACAGATCCCCTTCTGTATTTGAGAAACACTGGTCTAGTGTATACTTTGTAATATGTAATGCAGAGTTATTACATTAAACATAATCATCTTTTGACTTATATCACAGTTCCCTGCAATAACATTCACTCTTTAAATTTTAGTTTGTGGTGAAAAAGTTCTTATTGAAACTTCAAAACATGCTAGCAGAGAAGGTTGTATGTGAGTTTTCTCTGACTCTTCATGATACAGTAAAAAGAAACTATAGAATTGGGTTTGAGAGATTACAGCACTAGTACATTTATAGCAACAAGAGAGATTACTGACTGGATTTTAATTCCATTAAACCTAGGTGAAAACCTGTAGTAATAATGTAAATTCCTCTGAACCTCTGTTCAGAAACTCTCGGATAACATATTCACCTGAGAGAATTTATCGAGAACAAATATAAACACTGGGAATGAAGTCTCTGAAATGTAGAATGAGATCATTTTTCCCTTGACACTCTTCCCTTCTTTCCTCCCCTCCCCCAGGCTGTATCTGTATATTCCCCAGTTTCTCTTAAGAGTAAAAGGAGGATTCCTTCTTCCGTTATGTGCCTTTGCAGTGCTAGAAAGAAGAAATTTGATCTGGGGAAGTTATTGAGTTGGTGGTTATTGGCATATGAATCTATAAGGGTAAATACATATATGCAAAGTTTAAATAAAATGAAAAATTTCCAGAGACATCCTCCTGGGGAGCAGTTATAGTTTAATATTATAGTACTCCTTTGCATTTTTAATTAGCTTTGAGAGAAAAAAGAACCACAGTTGTTGCACAACTGAAACAGCTTCAGGCGGAAACAGAACCAATTGTGAAGATGTTTGAAGATCCAGAAACTACAAGGCAAATGCAGTCGACCAGGTAACCTCTCCTTACATGGAATTAAAAAAATTACCTTTTCTGGATTAATACAAATGCAAATTCAGACTTTAATTGATTCCTTTATGTATTGTTTTTTATTTATCCTTTTTGTGTAGGGATAATAATAAATGTTAATACTAAATTGTTTTTAGAACTTGTTTACCATTTACCTAAATTTGATTATGTTGCATCAGCTCTGTCTACTTCCCCCCCTTTCCAGTGGACATTTGGCAATGTGTGGAGACATTTTTGGTTTTCACAACAGGAGGGGTGATACTGGCACCTAGCAAGGAGTAGCCAGAGATGCTGCTAAACATCCTACAGTGCTTTGAACAGTATCCCACCCTCCAAAAAGAATTATTCAACCCATAATGTCAGTAATACTGAGGTTGATAAACGCTGTGTTTGGGCAATACCTAGAGCACATGGGTTACTAGCTGTAAGGAAAAACCTGAGCTCGCTTTATCAGTTTGCTACATTCTCCCATATCCTTCCAGCCTGATGCCCAGTCCAAGGAGGGTAGTGTAGAGCTGATAAGGTTATTTTATTCCTAACTTCTCCCTAGCTAGAAATAGACTTATTGTTTGGTTTCCAAAGAAAATGTGTTGCCTTACTCTGACTTACTGTATATCACTAATTGAAGCCCTTTAAGTTGTTTGAAATGTTTAAAAATAAAATCTACTAAATAGAATGTTGCCATTGTAGTAAACCTTAACTACCAATACATTTACTTGAGGAATTGCAGAAGATTCTGCCATGTTGTACCTTTAGTTCGTAAGATATGTGATCAAGCCACATTTTAGAGAGGCTGGCTCTGAATTTTCACTTGTGATTTGGGAAAGTGTTGCCAGATATTTTTTAGAAAAGCAACAAATACTATACTAATGCTATACCATATTTATAATGTGTTCTACTGTACCACACCATATTTTACTACATATGTATACACACAGGCATATACATACACATAGATAGCTATATCTTACAAAGCTATCATATATATGTCTATTTATATATAGCCATCTGTGTGTGTGTGTGTATATATATATATATATGTAAAATACTAAACTACTTATATATACTTACAATGAGTAATTATAGACCTTCAAGTCACATGTAAGTGACCGCAGAGGGACAGCTGAAATAATCCAGAAGTTAAGGTACAAGAGAAAATTTAGGATTTAAGTTCCAAATTTAGTCTAGTCACATAAACACTTGAAAATAATGAGATTAGGATATGAATAAGGTGAGTATGGATTTGTTCACCAAATATTAGGGAGAGAACTCCTTATAGCTTAATAGCCACTAAATTGGAGATAAATGAAAGGATGGAATTGTGTGTTAAAAACTTGTAACCCGGCCCCGGCTGGGCTTGGCTCAGCGGTTGAGCGTCGACCTAGGATCCAGGCAATCAGGGTTCGATTCCCGGTCAGGGCACATGCCCGGGTTGCGGGCTGCAGCCAATCAATGACTCTCTCATCATTGATGTTTCTATCTCTCTCTCTCCCTCTCCTTTCCTCCCTCTGAAATCAATAAAGATATATTTAAAAAACAAAAAAAAACCACTTGTAACCCAATTAAACATATAAACTACTTTCAAAGTAATAACCTCCCTGCCAACTTCACATTTTTAAACTTTATTGAACATACCATGTTGTGCTTCTAGTACTTTCCCAGAAATACCCTATCAGCCAGAGGACAGTGAAGGGTCTGAGGAATGTAACATTTACTCACTATGATCCACATCAAGTGTTAAGGTTTTTTTATGTCTTTATGTTGAAATTTCATGCACATTTCATGTTCTGTTTTATAATATACCGATGTTAATTTTAGTGATAACATATTCACCCCTCATTAAATAAATCTTCAAGTAAAAGTATGCTTCTGAAAGACATACCACAGCATGCATTCTTGTAAGAAGCATAAAAAATGTTTTTATATTTGAAAATGCCTAGAAGGTAGGCACTTGTACCCGCCTATCACTTGTTTTTTGGTGTCTTTGTCACCATTTTACCATCCTGCCAACATATCAAATTATGCAAAGCAAAAAAAAAGAAAAAAAAGTTAAATTGGGTTATTTGACACTTTGGTATGGATAATTATATAGGGTGTGTAGCATACATGTCATATAAGTTAGGCATGATTTATTAATCTTGTAAATTTGCTAAATTACAGCCCTTGTGAAAAATATAAACTAATTAGGAGAGGGACAAAATTTATATATAGGATTAATTCCTACTAGTTTGTGCAGTAACCCATTTCAATCTCTGTTCTTTAGGAATATATTTTGTATTGGAAATGTACTCTCAAGAGAGCAAATACAGAAACTCCTCGACTTATGATGGGTTCTGTCCTGGTAAACCTATGATAAGTTGAAAATATCATAAGTAAAAAATGCATTTAATATACCTAACCTACCCAACATCATAGCATAGCATAGCCTATGTTAATCTCAGAACACTTTCATTAGCCTACAGTTGGGAAAAATCATCTAATACAGTGAATACACTGTAGCGTGTCAGTTGTGTTTTTTTGTGTGTGTGTTTTTTTTAAATATATCTTTATTGATTTCAGAGAGAGGAAAGGAGAGGGAGAGAGAGAGAGAGAAACAGCAATGATGAGAGAGTCATTGATCAAGCCCACAACCAGGGCATGTGCCCTGACCAGGAATCTAATCCCGATCGCCTGGATCCCAGGTCAACGCTCAACTGCTGAGCCATGCCCGGCCAGGCAAGTGTCAGTTGTTTATCCTCATGATCGCAAGACTGACTAGGAGCTGTGACTTTACTGCTGCTCCCCAGCATCATGAGAGAGTTATCACACCACATATTGCTAGCCCATGAAAAGACCAAAATTCAAAATTTGAAGTGCGTATCATTTTTGCACCATTACAAATTTGAAAATTGGTATGTCAAACCATCTTAAGTTCGGGACCATCTGTATCATTTTTGGTAGGTTACCACCTAAGTAGACTATTGATCTTTTTATAGAAATAGAATGTTCTGGTTTTATTATTTAAAAACACTTCTAAAGTCTTTACCTTAGATGTGGTAGAACAGAACACGTGATTGTCAATTAGGACTAAAAAATATGAAATGAATTTTGAAGTTTGCAATTCTTTGAGTTTTTATTCCTTGTTCAAAACATGTAATGTTCTGTTTATTCTGGAAGTCTTGTTTACTTTTGGTGTTTGGGTATTAAGGTATTTAAAGTGGCTTTATGTGGATAAGTTAGAAGTTGGATATGCTTATTTTTTCCGTGGACTATGAAATGTAGTAATTTTTGTTTTTTTTATTAAGGGATGGTCGGATGCTGTTTGACTACCTGGCGGACAAGCATGGTGTAAGTCATGTCTTTAAAATTTTTGTAGTTGTCATGTTATAAGGGTAATTAAAGAATAGTGCTGTATAGATAGGTTCCTGGCTCTACAAGAATATAATTTCTAGATTCATTTATTAAGTGTAATACCTGGTATGTTTTTAAAACTCTAGTTTTTAAAAATTACCAATGATAGGAAAATAATAGACTTATCTTTAGATAACAGAAATTCTCAAAACTTTGGATTTATTTTTTTTCAGAGTAATCAGGTAATAGTTAGTGTTTTATATTTCTGATGGATTAGCCAATAAGTAAAGACAGAACTAAATTTGAATTAGAAATGTCTTGATTAATAAAATTAAGTAAAACTTTGGCTGCCTTGTGGAACAGAGTAGCTCTTAACATTATCAAGGCCTTCATAAAACCCCAAATTCATAAATAAAGGAATGTTACAGGCTTTTCTAGCCATCTCCCACTCCTCTTTCCCTTGCTTTAACTCAAAGCCTAAAGCTTTGCATATAATCACTTCTGTAAGTTGCATTCAAGTGTTATCTCTCATTTAGCTACTATTGTAACAAGAGGCATGCTCACCACTGCAGATTACTTGTTTTGGTTTCCATGTAGAATGTTTAGTGGATTTGTTAATGGTCTAGTCTGGAGCCCTTCTCTTAGATTTGTTCACTTTCACTTGCATCAGCTCTAAAAGTTGGCGTAAATTTGGAGCCAGTTTTCACAGAGAACAGTTTACTGTACTGAATCACAAAACCTTACATATGTTTGGTAGTTGTTTAAACTGAGCCACCAGCTAAGAGACTTAATACATCAAACTTTCAGCAGCAATTCAAGTTTGTATCAATTGTAACAAATTAGGTATCATTACAATTCATAATTCTTTGAGGCTAGAACTATGAATGTTGAATTTACCAATTCCTAATTTATGTTTTAAGGTTATTTATTTTTGGTGGCACCTTTTGGGGTACTTTGAAAATTTACTTCTGAGGACATTTAAAGGAGTAAATTTTAAAGCTCAAAATTAAAAAGTAGAGCTCAGCTTTTTTTTTTTTTTTTTTTTTTTGTTTAGGCAAGANACATTTAAAGGAGTAAATTTTAAAGCTCAAAATTAAAAAGTAGAGCTCAGCTTTTTTTTTTTTTTTTTTTTTTAGTTTAGGCAAGAATATTTAGATACACTCTACAGGTATGCAAAATTCCAGTATGAATGTGGGAATTACTCGGGAGCAGCAGAATATCTTTACTTCTTTAGAGTGCTGGTAAGTAAGTTTTTCTTTACCCTCTCTTCTGGTAGGGTTCTGTTGGGTTCTCAAAACATGTCTATAGATTGGGGTCTCCCATCTGTTAGCAGCAGTTGTTGGTAAAAGGAGAAAAAAACTTTCCCCACCAAAAAAAAAAAAAAAATAGATACAGGAAACCCTGTACAGAGCCTCAAAATTTGGAGGGAAAATGAACTTGTCCTTGGAACCCCCAAAAGTGGGAACCACTGATTTGTTATTTTATGTATAATTGTATTTTAGCGTTAGCAGAATTCTGTCATACAATGAATATTACTGTACAGAACAGTGAATGGCACATTTTCAGTGCTCAATAAATATTTATTGAATAAATCCATTATTCTGGTATATGTACTCCTTAAACTTGTTCTAAACAACTTAGTTTTGTAATCCACTATTAGAATATAAATCTCAGTGGTTTTTCATTATGCAGGGAGTAGATGAGTTTATTTGGTACTGTTTAGAGCAAATACCTTCCCTGGTATCTTGATTTGTCTGTTTCACAAGTTCCTAGATTCAGTGCTTTTCTTAAGGAAGGAGAATTCTGTGAAGCTCACACCTTCAAATTCACAGATATTTTTTCTCACTCTGCCTTTTCTTTAGATACTTGTGTTAATACATGCCTTCTAGAGTTGTCAGAATGCCCTGGATTTAATTAACCTCTCATTTGAGAAATTATAATTTGTTACTCACTTTGGTTAGTAAGCAAGTACCTATGTCTCTGATTTCTATAGTTAATGCTAGTAGTTGGGAAATGACTTCTTTTAGGAAAACTTTATGTCTTTTAACTTTGGAAGAATTTGTTTCTTTTCTCTATTTTCTGGTGCCTTTTTCTTTTAGCCCAACATGTCTCAAAGAAAAGACTTGTGGCTGCTATTTTGGTTGTTTTCTCGGAAATTAAATTTTCTATTTTGTGGGGGTTGGGATTGGTGTTAATTCAGATAATTTCTACACCTAAAAAACTACTTAGACAACTTCATTTTTTAAAAGTGCCTTTCTCTAAAGAAATCCAGGTTTTCAGTTTATTTCCAAGATTGATTTGTAATAAGAATATTTTTCTCTTGCTCCCATTTGTAAGCAAATCTTAATTTACAGGTTAGCTGTGGTTAGCTTGCAAGTGCATTGAAGGTAATCGGTGATGCTAAACTTGTAGTGAATTATCAGAAAATTCCATCAGTTTTACTTTGAATATTATGAAGGATTTAGGAGAGCAAAAGTTGATTACTTTGGAAATGTAAACAGCTTAAACCAGGATTGTAAAATCAGAAGGCTGATATGATTACAGGAACATGAAAAGAGCTGGTTATTCATATCATTTGTTAATGCTGGGAGTGAATTTTGAGAATGAAGATTTAGTGTCATGTTAGAGTTCTAGCACAGTAAATTTATTGTTGCTGGTTAGTGAGTGAATGTGCCATTTTGCTAAGACATGGAAACTTAAGGTAACTGCTAGAAATCCAGATATTGAAACTCTTCTAGCATATCCACCCTTGAAAGCAGGTTAGTATGAAGAGCCAACTGTAATGACATGGACTTGAGCCAAAGTAGTATGCATGAACCTTTTGGGGATTAAAAAACGTGCTGTGCTGCTACAAAAAGCTTTTATCCAAACACATATCATGTATTCTAGTTTTAATAGTATTATTATATTTATGTAGTATGGTTTTATAATTAAGTCTGAAAATTTCTACAAGTGATAGATATATACTTACAGGTTTGGGGAGTTTTTGTTTACTTTTTTTAAATATGAAGATCCAAGTTACTTCCCAACCTTAAAAAATTCTGGGTTAGTTTTAGCTTTCACATTGACGAAAAAAATGTTACGCTGGAACTCAAATGACATGAGGTTAAGTAATTGAATACCATTATCTGAACACAAAATTAATATTTTACATTAAGAGCAGTCAACATATAGTCATTGAATAGTGCTTAGAAATTATGTGCAATTAATGTTTAAATTTTTCCCAGCTTGTGCCACAAAACATTTGAGGTAGATGGGAGTTGGTCATCTTCTGTTGGCATATTGATAGAGGCTAACAAAGCTCAGTTTTAATGAAATAAAAATTATTTTACTTCTCTTTTTCTTTTTATTGAGATAGGCAGTACTATAAAATGAATGTATTTGTTTGAAATTTTGTTACTAGCAAGGATAAAAATCGTGTTTTGGATTTGGGATGAATACTGTCAATGTTTTACTTATGTGGGTTTTTTTGTGTGTGTTTTTGCAATAGCCTTTTTTTCATTTCTAAATTCTTTTCTGGTGATTGGTAATTCTTCTAAATCTATGGTTAGGGAAACATAAGCTATGAAAGAACCATTGTAACTATGATCTGAGATTAGAATTTGACTCTCCAAATGACCTATTGTAGGTCAGTGTTGTATAAATTAAAGCTGTGTGACCCTAGAATCTACCTTTATTTTAAAAAGACTTGGTGGCTTTTAGAAGACATCAAGGAATGTTTAGATATGCCCTATTTGGAGGTGAAACTTCTTTGATTTGTGCTCCAAGAAATGCATTGATTTGAAATGACACAGTGAAGCAGATTTGGTAGAAATGTTCTAACATTTTTGTTTTAAAAGTTATTAACATTGTATTTTAATTATTTTGTTTAAATCTGCCCTCACTGTGGCCTTTGGTCTGGTTCCAAAATACAACCCCTCCCCTCATCCAGCAGCTATTTGAAATAAAAATGATTTTAAGGTATAACAACTCTTATTTATCATCTTTTTGTAGGCTTGTTTGTTTCTTTGTTTTTTCCACTCAGAATTAAACATTTTTCTACTGTTAAGTACATGGCATTTGATTTAAAGTTACTTTTCCTTGACTTAGAAAGCTTGAGAAATTATGACTTTTGGAAGCTTTAGGATATTGACAGAAATTTTGGATCTAATTTACCCAGTTTGATAATGTCAGTATAAAAGACATCTATTTCATATTGATTTTCAGATACACAGTCTGATACATTTTCTGAAATTGGAATGTGTCTTAAATTGATTGTGGTTTGGATTTAACAAACATAAAATAATAGCGTATCCTTAAAATTGATGGCATCTTAGATTTGATGTAATATTTTAATACTCAGACTTCTTTGTTAGGATCAAACATTTTATCCTTTATAACTTGAACAGTGATTTCATGGTTTTTTATAAATCAGTTTTTAAATTCCAGTGAGTATTGACAAATGCATATACCTATGCAACGACCACTAAATCAAGATAACGGATCTCTCTCTTCCTCCAGAAAGACCCTTATTCCCCTTTGTAGTTATACCTTATCCTGGTTTATCCATTGATCTGCTTTTTATCCTTAAATTAGTTTTGCCTGTTTTAGAATTTCATATAAGTGGGAGGATATATGTAAGTTTGTGCCTGGCTTGTTTTGACTAGCAGATTTTTGAGATTCACTGCTGTTATTGTATATATCAGATCTATGAATATGATACAATTTGCTCATATATTCAGCTATTGATGTACATTTGGTTTACTTTGTTTTTGTCTATTACAAATAAAGTTGTCATGGATATTCACATAATTAGAACCAGTGGTTTCATGGATATGTGTTGAAATTTAATTTACAGATTTAGTTTGTTATTTGCATATTCTTAGAATTTGCTAAATGTTATTGGCTACAGTTTGGGTTAATTACTGCCATCAAAGGCAGAATCTCATTATAGGCCGAGTCTGAATTAGATATTACTGTGATTCTCGTAATTTAGACAACCTGTAGTACTTGGTAATCATTTCTAGTGTCATTGCCACTTGATACCATTTCCTGAATTTTTATATCTGTCAAATTATGGTATAATCTCTTCACATGTATTATGTCATTTAGATTGTACAGCAGCTGAGGTGGGTTCTATTACTATGCCCATTTTATAGATGAGGAAGCTAAAGTTCAGACAGTTTGGCTCTTTATACTAAGTTGTAGAGCCAGAATTATTGGTGGTTGGATTTCTAGTCTTGCCCATGCAATTTTATTTAACATGTAATTGTACTATATACTAATAGTACTTTATAGTTGCACTACCATGTAAATGCTTCAATGAAAAATTAAATTCAAAATTTTAACTTGGGGTATAGAAATGTATTCTTTGTCCAATACCCTCACTTGCTTCTGCTGCTTTAGTCCATCTGATCATTTCAGAGTCTTTCTGCCCAATTACCTTGTCCTGTTTTGAGTGTGCTTCTTGTTTTTGTTATTTAGCACAGTCTTTATAGGTCTATGTTTTGAGTTTGAGACACTCTTTTAATAGTGGCAAGAAGAGGTAAGGTGTCCCTTAGTCTGCTCCTTCAGGTTTAGACTACAGTATAAAATTTAGAGCTTTCACGATTCGAAGTATAACTTTGGGCAAATTATACTGTCCTTACATCAGTTTCCCCTCTGCAAAATGTGGATAAAAGAATTATTCTTTACCTTGTAGGGTTTTTGTTAGGATTATATGAGAAAGCAAACTTTTATTGCTCAGTGCATATTCCTTTGATAATAATTGTTACTAAGCAGTAGACCTTTTTTTCCTCTCTTCATAACCCCTTCCATTTGTGTCATAATTTGGAAAACTTTTTTTGTTCTGGAAATAATTTCTCTAAATTATAAATGAGACCCAAAAGTCTTGATTTCCCACATCTTCACCCCTGAAGATTGCCTCTGAATCTAATCGTTTCCAAAGTTTTAGGTGCCTAAAATCTGATTAGTTGTGTATAAGTTATCTGAAATGGGTTACACAAAAACACTGGTGGTGTGTCCTAGTTTTAAGTTACTCTTTATTTGCTGATCTAGGCTGAGTACTAAAGACCTGAGGTTTTGTGTTTTTTTAAGTATAATTAAGTTAAATGAAAGTGGTTTGAATCAGTGTGATCCAATAATGATTTAGATGACTGGAGTTTTGGGTAGAGAGCCACTGGTCTTTTAGTAGACTAGATGGATATAGGGTATAGAATATAATTAATGATGATATCTCAAACAGGTTCCAGCAACGGATAGAAATGCTTTGAGTTCACTCTGGGGAAAACTGGCTTCTGAAATCTTAATGCAGAATTGGGATGCAGCCATGGAAGACCTTACACGGTTAAAAGAGACCATAGATAATAACGTGAGTTCAACATCTTTAGGATCATTTTCTGGAATTTCTATATGTTCTTCATACTTTCTGATAAGGAAAACACTGTGTACTTAAAATGAAATTAAAAAAAGACAAATAGAAGAAAAATGAAATTAAAATGTTTAGATTAGCTTTTGTTGGCCTGACATAAAAAATCACAGTGGGTTAGTGGGTTGATTGGTTTCATTGAATCTCCTTGAAGGAAGCTGTCACTTCTTTTGGCTCTTAGAGAAAAGAACTCAGTTTTCTTTTTTGTTACAACTACTTGGCCTTTTTTATCTGTGTCAGTGAAAATGACACAATACTATTAGTGCCATCTATTATTGAAAGCCCTATGCAGAAGATGATAGTTTTCATCTATAATGTCTAATAAAACTATTTCTTTTGGAGTATTTAGTTCATTTAAAATGTTTTCTGAAGTCAGTATAATTTACAGCCTCTGTAAAAATGTCTTAGTGGACAGTATTGACTCTGTCTCTGAAAATGGTGAAATTTTGAATGTTAATGATCATGCAGATTAAAGGTCCAGAAGATTGGACTTTGATCACGACCCTAGCACATGCCTTAGAAGGTTCTCGTTTTTAGCTAAAATTCTGAGATGAGCAATGCTTATTACCTTGCCTCTTTCTCATATATTAATATTTCCTGTGTGTACTTTTTTAACCCTTTAGTCTGTGAGTTCTCCTCTCCAGTCTCTTCAGCAGCGAACATGGCTCATTCACTGGTCTCTGTTTGTTTTCTTCAACCACCCCAAAGGGCGAGATAATATTATTGATCTCTTCCTTTACCAGCCACAGTAAGTTAATTTCACTATATAATTTTGGTTTTAATTATATGAAATTACATAAGTTTTTTTTAAAATTTAAAAATGTATTTTTCTCCTACATTTGAATTTGTTGCCATTCACCCCCCCCCCCTTCATGTGGTATGTGGTATATGTGCTTGTTAATTGAAAAAGCTTATATGGGGGAGGATCACTTTGTAAACCACTATGCTATATACCTGAGACTAATATAAAACAATACTGAATGTCAACTGTAACTGAAAAAAATAAAAATTTTAAAAATGGTGATAAAGAAAAAGCTTATATGTAATTCTTAAGGAAATTATTTGATAAAAGTGAACTCTAAGCCCTCTATAGTGCTATGTAAGTTTGGTCCCTGGGCCAACAGCGTAAGTATCGTGCAGAATCTTGGGCCTTATCTTATGTCCATTTAGTCATATAGGATATTAAAGATTAGTATGCAAAGGTTGGAATTTTAAAAATTAATTGTTACTGCCTAATCAAGGACATAATTGAAATGCATTTTTCCAGCTGCAGAAGTGTAGTGGGGAAAAGTAACAGTGACTGTTCGTATAGCAGGACGCACTGTCTGTAGTTGTGCGAGGGTTTCCAGAAGAGTGTATTTGTTTGTTTATAATTCACTGATGTTTAGTTATTTTACCAAGTGGTGCAGCAATAACCGTGAATCATTTGTTGAGTATTTTCATCCGCCCAAAAAAGAAACCTCGTGCCTATAGAACTATATTTTTTATAACAGAAACAACATGTTAGAAAAGTATGGAAAACTATTCAGTAGTAGTACAGCTTTCAGTTTCCACCAAAATACTGTATTTACTGTTTTCACTTGCCATAGGGTCAGGTTACCATCATATTTTCTTCCTCATTAGTAATGACTTTTCATGACTTACTTCAGTTTTGTGTCATTCTAACTTTTTTCATATGAGAATATACCCACTTGGCTTGACAGATCATTATTTCATCCATTTTCCTGGACTTGCATATTCTTTAAGTAGAACAGTTACATAGCTTGTAATTTGCCTTTGTATGTCTACAACCAGTATGTGTTTTTCAATTGTCTCTGATGGATAGTAGAAATTAATGGAAAAAGTATCATATTCTTCCACTGGTACAATTTACTGTGGTTCTTAGAGTATATATTAAATTGATAATTTATATAGGTTATGATTTCAAGCTTTTTTAAAAATATAAAAGTACTTTTGAGATAAATTATACTTTTGTCCTTGAAGTGAAAGTTTAGATGCAATTGCAGGTTAAAGTCTCTTACATCATATATATTACCATTTCTGCAATAATTTATTCTGAATCTAAAATGGAGATGATTTACACATTTGAAAAATGTTGAACTTTTAAATGTAACATAATATATAAGATAAGGTATCAGGTGTAAGATAGAGCAGTGTTTGTAGGCTATTAGAGATGAGGTTTGGCCACCAAATGTAGATGTTATTAGGGAAAAGTGCATTTGTAACATAATGCCCTCGTAACTCTCCAATTAAAAAAAGATTTAAAGTTTAGTTAGCGCAAGAGTGTTTAATTTGTTTTCTAAATAAAGTTTCCAGTTTTATTAGATAGTGTCCAGAGTTTATCCTGGACTGGCCTTCCTGCCCTTCCCCTGCATGTTCTAATTCCTAGTACTTTTGATGCAGGTGTTTACCTGCTCTAGCTCAGCGTGACCTCAGGGTCCCAGCTGAAAGTTTATCCTCCAGAGTCCTACTAAGTGCTCCCCCTTTGTCCTTTTAGCTTGTCTTTCTGGAAGTGCCTTTTTCTTCTTTGTACCTCTCCGAAGTCTGCCTGCTTTTTAAGCTCCAGTTCAGGTTTACTTTCTTCATGAAGTCCTGTATATTGTGTCTACCATATATTTGGTATTTAATTATGTAATGCCTTTAAAATAAACAACTTACATTTGCCTTATCTTCTCAGTTATATTGTAAATGCATTCAAGGGCAAAATTTTTATTTTTTATGTTCTTTTAACATCCTGTACAAAATAGATATGTAAGTATTTTTTATTTGGGGGCATATTTTGTCTTTATCCTTTGATTACTAAGTGTTCTGGCTTGCAATTAGAAAAATTCCATAAAATTGCACAATTGGGGCAGGGTTCTGCTAGAGAGAGAAAAATAAAATTAGATTTCAAGTGTAAGGATGGTATAGCCTCTCTTCTTACATGGTTTATAACTCAAACAACACAAGAAGTAGTGTAAGAACATATTTAACTAAGTACAGATGCATTGTACATGCTAAACACAGTTTAATAGCTATCAGTGAGACCTGGAGAAGTTAGAAGAGTCCAGTGAAGATGAAAATTGATCTGGCCTTTAAATTTCAAGTGACAGGGAAGAAAGATCACAAGAAAGAGAAAAAGAACAAAAGAGCACAATGATCATGTGTAGGCTCTTAACCACATCTGTGGTTTCGCTTGTATTTCAACTAAATATATAATTACTGATACTATCAGAATGTGAACTAAGATAACTTTACAAGAATCACCCTTAATCCCCACTCCCCTCTTGTATGTACCAGTCTACATATATATATACATACATACATACATACATGGGAAGGACCTCTTCTAGCATAGAAGGTAGGGAGTTCCTGCTATCTTGGAAGTCAAGAGCCATGTTAGTGCAGTATACCAGGGGTCTGCAAACTATGGACCATTGACTAATAAATCTGGCCTATTGCCTTTTTTCTTACGGGTTGTAATACAAGAATGGCTTTTACATTTTAAATGGTTGGAAAAAAGTGAAAAGAAGAATATTCTGTGACGTGAAAAATACATGAAGTTAAAGTTTTAGTGTCCATAAATTTTTATTGGAACATAGCCACACTCATATTATGTACAGTAGTCCCCCCTTTATCTATGGAGGGTACGTTCCAAGACTCCCCAGTGAATACCTGAAACCGTAGATATTTGAACCCTATATATATTATGTTTTTTCTATACATACCTATGATAAAGCTTAATTTATAAATTAGATACAGTAAGAGATTAATAACAATAGTAATAAAATAGAGCATTTATAACAATATGTGTAATAAAAGTTATGTGGCTTTAGGACCATTGTTAAGTAAAATAGGGGTTACTTGAACTCAAGTACTGCAATAGTGCAATACTGGATCTGATAACTGAGATGGCTGCTAATTGACTAATGGACAGGCAGGTAGTGAATACATATATATACAGTGTGGATATGCTGGACAAAGGGATGATTCACTTTCTGGGCAGGATGGAGCATGACAGTGTGAGATTTCATCACAATACTTAGAACTGCTTGCAATTTAAAACTTATGAATTGTTTATTTCTGGAATTTTTCATTTAGTATTTTCACATTATGGTTGACCACAGGTCACTGAAACTGTGCAAGCCAAAATCACAGTTAAGGGGGGACTGCAGTATTATCTTTGGCAGCTTTTGAACTGTATGGCAGAATTGAGTTGTGACAGAGATCATACATAGTTGCACTCTCCTGGCCTCAAGTTGCTGCTTTGTGCACTGTGAATCCCAGGCATACCTAGACCGTGATTCAAGTGCTGTTTATTACCGTACTACAATGTTTTGCTTTTTTAATAACCAGTGCATACTCATCAGGTCAGAACAAGAGGAGAAAAGTGGACTTCAGATGTGCTTTTAAGGCACAGTGGGGTAGGAATTATTTTGTATCAAATTAGAAAGCAAAACATTGAATTTACACTGTAGGTATGCAAAAAGAATACAGTATACATCCATATTCCCAGACTGTAAGCACTCATAATATTCCCACTGACAGCAAAGCAACTGTCAGAAAAGTTAGGAAATTTAAAACAATATTTTAGCAGCATTTCCTCACAAAAATTAATGAAAATGCTTCAACTAGAGTAAATTTCTGAGTGGCTCTTTTGTTGGCCAAGTAAAGAAAGCCATTTACCAACGGTGATTCTGGTTCATGTTCAGTTGCAGCAGCCAAAGATACGTCTAGAAAAAATAAACTTGTTCAAAACTGTTAGCCTTCGGTGAGAACAGTTTTGGGTTTGAAGATATTGGCAGCAACATCAACAATCAATTTAAAAACAATGGATATGATTTTTAGTGGTTTTCCTTGGCTCTTCATGAGTCAACAGATGTTACCAATATGGCTTAGTTGTTGAGTTGAGGAATCTGATGGATTTGAAGTGACTGAAGAATATGCCTCTATGAATATAATCTGTGTGGACTCTTTTACCTGCGGGCACTTGTGATTCATACTGTAGGTGAAACTATAGGTGAAAATATTTTCAAAGTTACGAACACACTAATTTAGTACAGACTGAAGTGGAATTGGCTAAGTTGTGCTAAAACTTTTGGTGGTAAATACGTATGGAGAAGAAAAAGGCTTAGTTGGACAAATTTACAAAGCTTTTGGAAATGGGAGGTGTTCAGAGCTTATGATTATTGATTGTATTATTCATCACCATGCACTTTGTGGAAAATACTTGCATCTGTGGTGTATTATTGAACCATTAGGATCCACAGTGAACTTATTTGCTGTAGTGGAGTTAATATGTATCAGCCCATGAATTTTTGTCAGAAATAGGAATAGAGTATCTTGATTTCCCCTACTACACAGCAGTTGGATGGCTTCACAATGATAAAGTTTAATTGTGACTTTTTTGAGGTTGAGGTGAGACTGGAAATTTTCTGAACAAGAAAAATTGTGCTCAACCACTATTACATCCTGAATGGCTGTGGAAATTAACTTTTGTTATTAACTAATGTTTCTTTACTAAAATTCAACCTAAAATTACAAAGTGAAGTAGTACTTATATGCAAAACTTATACTGTAGTAGTTATTTTGATCATGACTAACATGTGAATCACAAATGTCTAACCACTTTATACATTTTTCATTCTTTCAAAAGTTAAAAGAAAATGAGACCATTCCCACACAAATTTGCAGCAGATAAATTTTTCGAGCCCAAAATGTAATTCCAAAAAGTTTTAAACCTCATTGTAATTACAGAGGAAATTTTTATATTTCAAAATTTATTTAGCTGTGCAATTGAATTGGAAGTGATTCATCTGCAGTATAATGATATATTAAAGGGCAATATCAGAAAAAGAATTTAGAATTGTATAAATTCTTGCCAAGTGACAAATATGCTAAAATAAAATCACATACCTGTCAATTGATAGCAGTATTTGTTGGTACTGATGTGCTTGAAAAACATTTTTAAAGATTAAATATGTAAAATCTCATTACAGATCAACATTAACAGATAAACATTTGCAATAGATTTTAATAATAGGAGTCTCTAACATTTGAACCCAGCTAAATAAAGTTATCCCATTAAAGAAATTTAATTCTTCTCATTAGTAGACCTGTATTAAATTTTCTACTAAGCTATTATATTTTTTACTTTTATCAATAAAATATTTTGGAAATTTATTTTCTTTTTATATAAGTACCTGCATAATGTTCTCAGTTTTGCTCTTTGCCTGCAAATCCTAAAGACTTCATTATCTATCTGGCCCTTTACATATATTTTGGTAACCTCCGCTGTATATACTCAAAGAAAGAGAGAGATTATTTCCCAAGGAAGTCATCCTCCAAAAAAATAATGAAGATCAATGTGGTGTAATGATGTAAAATTAGAATAAATAAAAATAAGTGGTTAGTGTCATATACAATGAAATTAAAGTTTTTTAATACTATGTGAATAAATTTATAAATGAATTCCATAAATGCCTACTAAAATTACGTACTTTAAAACTGATACCAAAAACAACAATCATGCTTTCCTGAACTTATACATGAGATCTCTGGCAAGAGGATAGAGACAAACAATGGTTTTGAACCAATAGTATAGTTTAAATTTTTTTGCCTGTATCTCAGGTGTAATTTTTCAGATAATAAAGCTTTTAGCTGATTTGTTTAGTTATCTTTTTGTGGAAATTGTTTTATTCTTAAGTAAGTATTCATTCTTTTTATACCCTGTCTTGTTTGGAGGGGACTTAAGG